CATCCAACAGTTTCTCTATCAGGTGCATAATTAATATTATAGCCATATGGAGGTGGTAACATACTGAAGCATAAGAAGAGCTTAACATTTGTTTTCTCATTTTAGCTGCACAGTCTGCCGTCTTGCACAGAACCATCAGCAAAATCCTAAAAAATGAGAAGCCAGATAAGAAGGTATGTGGCAAATAAACATCAACTGTGATTCAGCTTTTTGACTTTGAACAGTGTTTTACTGCTCTTTTTGAAATACCTCTGAAAAATGTGCAAATGCATCATTTGTATTCTCCTTGTTTACAGTACGATGGCTACACCTCATGTCCACTGGTTACAAGCTACAGCACTGTGATTCTAGCAGAATTTGACTACAATGGAGAACCACTGGAAACGTTCCCTATCAACCAAGCCAAAGAAAGCAGAATAATGTACCACATGAAAGCTGATGTAATGCCCCAACTCTACTGGCATGGGCTTCTCAGGTAGAGCTAAGTAACAACATGTTAATAGTTGGTAGTAATGATGACTTACTCTGCAACATTTATTGTGTATTTCTTTATTTCTCTTATGACAGGGGCCTGTGGGGTGGGCCAGGACCATACAGGAAACTATTTCATCTTGGGATGAAGTGAAACCTCGATATCAGCTTGAATGCTAAGAGTCAGTTTTAAACTTACAACACAGAATTATCTCTCATATGTGTGCCTATAAGTCTGTGTTTTGGTTGTTTTGGTGGAGCATTGAATGTAACACCCTGGCGCCCATTATGCAACCATCAATGAAATTTTTATTGGAGCAGAGATTGTTTTGTATAATATCCTTATTCAATAATTTACTACCCTAGGTGTACCAGTGTACTTTCAGAGACCAGTAGGTTTCACTAAAGCCTTATGCCAAGTTGAAGTTATCCAAGCCCTTGTGAAATTTACTGCTCTCTAGAGCAGTGATTCCCTGTGGCACCTGAACGACTGAGTCTCCACCTGGTGGTACTCCAGGGCCTTGCTAAAAGGCCTAACAACTGCACTGTAACTGGTCCAAGTCCTTAACTTAAAACCAAAGGAAAAAAAGCCATTTAATTTTATTACAGATAGCATTTAGGCTTTTACATATACAGCACTGTGCAAAGGTCTTAGGCCACCATTAGGTTTTGGTGTTTTATTAAGGCTGTAATGGTAGTTTATTTCTCAGTCTTTAATTAAGATATAACCAGATAATACAGGAAATATGTACACAATATTAAAAACACAAAATTGTCAGAACAAAATGGCTTCTACAGACCAAAGTCAGTATTTAGTGTTATTTTGTGTACATATTTCCTATATTTTCTAGTTGTATTCTGATAAAGAAACTGTCATGTAAATATTACTTGGTAATCATTTGAATATTTTAGAAATAAAATATGCATGTGTGTACCCACATGGGGTGATGTGATGTTACGACTGAGATGTATGCCTACTCAGTTCATTCAGTGCTGTGTTGTGTGTAGCGGGTGCGTGTCGATGCTGCACTGTCCATATTACTGAAGCAGAGCAGAGGAGATCGATAAACAGACTGATATAGGGACAGATTATGTCACTTTGTTTGGTTTCTTAGCCTGCTTGCTTTTCATGGTTGTATATAGAACTCTCGGGGCTATTCCTATTCTCCCATGGTAGCAGTTCACAGACAGAAGGTAAATGACAGCGACAGTCAGAGCCAGCTGCAAGTGCAACAGCTGTTTTACCGGAGTGATTTTTGTTTGTGCTTTGATTAATACTTTTTTTTTAAATTAGCCTCATGTTGGCTTTTTTTATTTTTATTTTTTTTGGTATCTGCAATGGGAAGTGGTATAATTTGGTACATAGTGCTACATGGTCTGAAATAACAGTTGTGTGTGCTACCAAACATTTAGTAAGAACTGCTGTCTTGGGGAAAGCTTGACCATTAACATGCAAACTACCACAAGTGCTTTTTTCCTTACTTTTAAACATCAGTGTCAGAAATAGTGCTTTGTACATTGTGATTATTTTTTCTGTTAGTGCTAAACTCAAACAAGTTGTTGATTAAACTGTCAGTTTTATTACTCATGAATCTTTGTGTACACTTCTTGAAGTAAAAACATGTTTATGAAGAATCATAAATGCATACTCCATTTCAATTTTCATGAACTTAAAAGTTTTTTATTTCATCCAATCTTACTACAACAAAATTTAATTCTACATATGACTTTGTTCTGCTGTGATTTGTGTAGTGTTGTTTACATTCTTAAGGTCCCAGATTAATATCATCACCTAAGGGACAATTTGTGTAGTGCACAACCGATGTGGAAACCTTTAGGAAACAAATGTTTTATTACTCATGAATCTTTGTGTACACTTCTTGAAGTAAAAAAAATGTTTATGAAGAATCATAAATGCATACTCCATTTCAATTTTCATGGACTTAAAAGTTTTTTTTTTCATCCAATCTTACTACAACAAAATTTAATTCTACATATGACTTTGTTCTGCTGTGATTTGTGTAGTGTTGTTTACATTCTTAAGGTCCCAGATTAATATCATCACCTAAGGGACAATTTGTGTAGTGCACAACCGATGTGGAAACCTTTAGGAAACAAATGTTTTTGCATATTCTGTTCTGTTATCTCTACAGTTCTTTCACCTAACATTACAGCTGGCCTTTCCCTATAGTTTCATGCAGTTTCTGTGCCATGACAGCAGATAGCTTATGTCAGCCTTGGGTTTTTTACAGCAGAAAGAAACTTGTTATTTCTGTCACACCATCTGCTTTTGCTTGTTTGTATTCTGTTTGATTTTCTAACAACATTGATAATGATCAAAGTGCCTGTCATCGTAAATCTGTAAGTGATTAATCCAAAAGTTGCCTGTAAAATGCCTTGGCCTAGACAAAGGCTGCCAAATAAAGATGCCAAACAACAGTCTTGTCTTTCAAAATGTAACAAGAAAAAAGCATCTTGCACACAACTGCTGTGATCAATATGTGCACTAGTTTACATATTCACTATAGCTTTCTTGTAGTCACACAACAACACCAGCAGGGCGAGAGCGCCCACGCACCATAGTAATTTTAATGTCGCAGATTAATATTATCACTTAAGGGGCAAGCTGCTATTCGTGTACCACACAACCGATATGGAAACCTTTAGTAAGTAAATGCTTTCTTGTGAAGCTAATGAGGTAATAATTAGCCATGCTATTAAGTAATTCAGATCACTGACTGTGTTTTAGCTATATACACTAATTCATGTCAGTGCTTTAAACTGTCGGTTAACGATGCTCGCTTCTGATTGGCCCAACAACGTGGGGAGGTGGGACGAACGTCCCAGTGTTTACAACTTGACTTTGACACCACCTCCGTCCGTCAGTCCTTCGACGGGTGGCGACAATAAGTTTAGCTGGGAACAGGGTGCAAGAGTGGACGTCAGGGTCCATTATCCTGGGTCATTTTTGGATTTTGTCAGCAGAACGGAGGTTTGACAGCAGTGCTGCCCGAGGTATGTATCTTACAAGTGTTTTTAGAAGTTACAGCACTAAACAGTACCTGACTATCATATTGTCAGGTCTGTCCGTGTGGTTACATGAATGATTGTTATGGAGGAATAGAGAGTTTACTACGAAGCAAGCTGCAGCAACAGTTCACCTCGGATTAGCTTAGCACGTCTCAGAGACGTGTTTTAGCTAACATTCAGATAAAACTTAACTTTCACTACAAATATAAGTGATCGTGTAATATTTTCAATTAATATAACTGTATGAAAGTAAATTCTACTTTCTTACCCTTCTATCCATGCACCATACTAGTCATTTTTGTTAGGTTAATTTTAACTAGAGACGACAAAAGAGCGCTGACGCCAGTGATGTAGCCAGGAGCTGATAGTATTCTTTTACTGAGCTCTTATCTCTTTGCTGTAAACAGCAGACGTGCCTGGTTTTGACCGTGTTTTATTGCATTGCCTTCATTTATCAATGTCTATAGCTCATCCCTGCTTGATCAAATCAACATTAATGCTAAAAATACGTTCGTTTCCGTACTTGCGTCCTTCACAATAAGATCCTGCTTCAACAACTCCATAGTATGCAGTAACGGCGCCCTGTTTTCGACAGTGCATTGCATACTGCCACCTGCTGGACAATTTATTAAACTGCTCTCGTTTCCATCGCTTAAAATAGCAGCTGACAGATTAACAGTGGAAATACTATCTGTTTCACGGCTAAGATAAGATGAGATAAGACAAGACAAGACAACAGGTTATGTTGCACATTATGCAGAAGCAACTCAGTTTATACATGTCTTGCAAACTTTTATTCTAACAAAATTAAGTATTACGTCATAGTTCAAGGATTTCCTTGAGTGGCCATAATCTCCGGGCAGTTGCGCGTTCATGTGAGCTTGCCTGACATCCGTGGTGCCATTTTAAAAGTGGAATGTGTGACCAGAGGATGTGGCGAAAAATACAGGGCCTGAGGTTACTGCATGTCCGGTAATGTTCCTGTACAAGGACTAGTTGTTTTACCTGAATGTTCATTTGCCCCCTAATATGTCCCAGACTGACAGGTGCAATTGTAATGAGATAATCAGTGTTATTCACTACACCTGTCAGTGGTCGTAATGTTATGGCTAATCAGTGTATTGTAAAACAATAAAGCTAACGATGTGCCATTTTGGAGCTGGGAATAAATAATTTAAGCCTTGTTGTCTGGATCCATGAGATTTTGTAGTGATTAAAACACAGATTTGAGAGTATCTTATCAGCAGATCTCCACTTTATGCTGTCTCTACAGGTCAAGGACATCTTGAAACCAGAATTGAGGCAGAAGACTGTAGTGTTAACAGGGAGGTTAAAGAGCATGAATTCAGTGATTTTTTTTTTTGTCACAAAAACAAGATCACATCAAGTAGCCATGTCAGGGACTCACCACTGATCTGAGAACTGAACTGTCCTTCCAGTTGTGTGAGACTGTGGCGCAGTTCAACATGTCTGTTTGTTTTATGAAAAGCTAACCGAAAAGATGTTTACATTTAAGAATACTGAGACATTCACAAATCACCAAGGCCGCTTAGGCTTTTTACTGTTGAACATTTTCAGGGAGCTATTGTGAAGAAAAATAAAAATCTATAATTTTAGGTTCTTATTGTGATGTCAGGTGGAGTAATGATGAAACGCAGGTCTTCTTCACAAAGGGTTTTCATGAATTTACTTTATGCAAACCTTTCCCATCTGTTACACCTTGCAAATATTTATATAAAAAAAGACAACAATGGCATTACTGTCAAACAACAAATACACATTAACAATAGGGCAAATGATATATCAGTTACCTTCGGTGGGTTAACTTGCAACTGATGTCTGAAGCTGCTCTCTCATTGGCGTTGCAGTACTGTGCTCTGGCAGTATAATAAAACCTTGTGTTTTATCAAGCTGAATAACGAAGTAGGGAGAATGTTAACGTGTCTTTTCTTCCCTAGCTGTTTATGTGGAAGCCCGAAGATTTAGGGAATATGTAATTTTACAGTCAGTTATTATTTAAGACAGCTTTTGAAAATATGTGTGCTGAAATTTTGTACTCTGCTATTTACGCCTGTATTTTTCCAAGCACGCTATTGAATGAAATACGTCACAAATATTGGACTCCCACACAAAGCCGTGTGCAAGAAGTACGAGTGGCAACATTTCCTTTCATTTGTTGAAAACTGTAGGAGTTACTAGCAAACAATTTGGTCCTCCCTCGATGGGGATCACCTGAATACACAAATTCTACCTACCTACGACTACTAAATTCTCCAATTGGCCCACTGCCTATATGTGCTACAGCTTTATGGGTGTGATCCAGGGAATAGACTTAAAAGTGTATCTCTTGGTCAAGTTAGAACAGTTCTTAAAGTGAATTTTAACAAAGAACTGTTAAGAAAAGTCACCTTAAAGAAGTTATTTGACTGTTATGACAGCTAGTTTAATAAAAATGATTTGTAGCTAATCTCAGTGATTTGTCCTTACTGTTCAGATCTAGAATGGCTGCTTTACATCACCTGAGGCAGTACCACCCCTTGTGCATTGCTGTCTCTAAGCTTCACACGAGCAGCCATGCCTCTGCCAAACAGCATTACAAAATGCTTGTGCTCGGAGGAGGAAGTGGAGGTATTACAATGAGTGCACGAATGAAGAGGTTAATGGGAGCTGAGAATGTGGCTGTTGTGGAGCCCAGTGAGGCAAGGATCCAGTAGATCATGATGATTATAAACCACACATCTAGTTGTGCATCACTAGGACACAATACAAACTACAGATCAATGTGGCTTTCATTGATTCAAATGTTGAAAATGTTTTCAGTTTGTCAGAAACATAATGTTTCAATTCTTTCAGGTGCACTACTATCAGCCACTATGGACCTTGGTTGGCGCTGGTGCAAAGTCTGTAGCCTTGTCAAGCCGTCCCACTGCAAGTGTTATACCATCTGGAGTGAAGTGGGTGAAATCTAAAGTTCAGGAAGTAAACCCAGACAAGAATACTGTCTACACAGATGATGGGTCTCAAGTATGTTTGCTTCAACAAACAGTTATCTGACACCTTGTAAACTTATAAAACTAGGGTGTTATCTAGCTTGGCATTGTGTAGTAATTTGCATGCAGAGCTGAGCATTTCTAGCAGCATGATCGATGTGCATCGAGCCCTATGTAAAATTTACTTCATGTTACAGATCTCCTATGAGTATCTGATTGTGGCTCTTGGTTTACAACTCCATTATGAGAAGGTGAAGTAGTGCTTTGCTCATTTAACTCTACCTGGTATACTTTGGCCCTTTGGTATATGAATTCTGTTACACCCCATACAACTTATATTCTTCTTGTATGTAGATTAAAGGACTGCCAGAAGGGTTTGAGCATCCAAAGATTGGGTCAAACTATTCATTCGAAACTGTGGAGAAAACATGGAAAGCGCTGCAGAACTTCAAGGAGGGCAACGCTGTGTTCACTTTCCCAAACACTCCTGTGAAATGTGCTGGAGCGCCACAAAAGATAATGTACCTATCAGATGCCTTTCTCAGAAAGGTACTTCAAGTTTGGGGTGTAATAATAATGTGGTTCATTTTGATAAATTAAGTGTGGTTTCCCATATATAGTGAAGACATGTTTATATTTCTGTTAAAGACAGGGAGAAGGGCACAGGCCAAGGTCATATACAACACATCGCTACCTGTGCTCTTTGGGATCAAGAAATATGCTGACTCACTGTGGGACATTGTTAAACGCCGTGACTTACAAGTGAATCTGAGGCAAAACCTGATTGAAGTTCGGGCAGACAAGAAGGAAGCTGTGTTTGAAAATCTTGACAAACCAGGTGAAACCAAAGTGATTGAGGTAACTGTGCTTTGTAATTTTATTTCTCTATAAATCCTGGAATAATGATTTCTACTACCGGTCAAAGGTTTAAACACACTTTCCAGTTCAAAGAGTGTGACTGGTAGTGTAGTTTGTATTTTTTTTGCCTGTACCTATAATATGAACAACTCAGTACATTTGTACATTGTTGTTTTCCTTTACACCTAAATGTATGCTAACAACAACGACTCTTTAATTAATCTCCTCTTTATTAGTATGAAATGCTTCATGTCACACCACCAATGGGGCCCACTTTGGTGATTAAAGGCAGTGCACTGGCGGATGAGGCTGGTTGGTTGGATGTCGACAAAGAGACCCTCCAACATAAGAGGTATCCAAATGTTTTTGGGATTGGAGACTGTACCAATCTGCCCACAGCCAAAACTGCTGCTGCTGTTGGTGAGTGAATATTGTGTCATTTGGCTCAAAGTTGCATCAACACAATCCTGGAAAACACTCCATTTCCTCATACCATCCATTCAATTTGATCTCTGATTAACTTACTGTTGTTCTCCAAATATGAAAGTCACTGTCTTCATAAAGTGTATTACACAATAACAAAATTCCACAAAGCTATAAAAGGATACACCACACCCTTATAATTTCTCGGTAGTATCTGACAAGTTCCACCTTTACCTCAGTTAGTACATAGAAGGAGTCAACGGGGGCACTGGACAACCCAGAATCTGATTGGCCGCCGCCGCCAGAGTGAAAATATGATGCATGTCAATATTAATGAATGAAAAACAATGACAAATTGACTTAAATACAACTAACATTTTCATGGTGCTTTATAACTGATATAGGTCAAATTAGTTTTATTTTATTTCATAGATTCATCATGATATTTGCATTCACTTCTCAGACTCTGTTGTTGTGGAGTATGAGTTGCCTCAGTGGGGTGGGGGACCACTGTGCAGCAGCAGTGTCCCCAGCCAGGAGTCAATGAGGAGCGCAGCCAAAGTTACCTAAACATTTAACATTTGCTTTCTAATTTTTAGCTGCACAGTCTGCCGTCTTGCACAGAACCATCAGCAAAATCCTAAAAAATGAGAAGCCAGATAAGAAGGTATTAGACAAATAAACATCAACTGTGATTCAGCTTTTTGACTTTGAACAGTGTTTTACTGCTCCATATGCTCCAGCCTCCTGTAACCCTGAATAAGATAAAGGTGTCACTATGCTTCATTTGGCAAGCGTTTGTCAAATGGCTACACCAGTCTGACCTTGGCATTGATGGAGACTGCTACCAATAATTTTTGTAATTCTCACCCACTGTACACAGTGACTGAGGAGGTGTGCTAAAGTGAGACAGGAGACAGCAGACAGGACTCAGCTGGATTCTCAAGCTCTTTTTAAAATGCTTCACATAGTTACTTCTGCTAATTCCTCTGTCTACAAACGAGTGCAGCCAGTGAATGCCTTTTAGGAGAGACTGTCATTACAGAGACTGAACAAACTTTTTCCTGGCTCCACCAGAGAACAGGACATTTACATTACTTGCCCCACTAGTGTTACCTACTAAGAATGTCAATTATTCACACATCCAACAGTTTCTCTATCAGGTGCATAATTAATATTATAGCCATATGGAGGTGGTAACATACTGAAGCATAAGAAGAGCTTAACATTTGTTTTCTCATTTTAGCTGCACAGTCTGCCGTCTTGCACAGAACCATCAGCAAAATCCTAAAAAATGAGAAGCCAGATAAGAAGGTATTAGACAAATAAACATCAACTGTGATTCAGCTTTTTGACTTTGAACAGTGTTTTACTGCTCTTTTTGAAATACCTCTGAAAAATGTGCAAATGCATCATTTGTATTCTCCTTGTTTACAGTACGATGGCTACACCTCATGTCCACTGGTTACAAGCTACAGCACTGTGATTCTAGCAGAGTATGACTACAATGCAGAACCACTGGAAACGTTCCCTATCAACCAAGCCAAAGAAAGCAGAATAATGTACCACATGAAAGCTGATATAATGCCCCAACTCTACTGGCATGGGCTTCTCAGGTAGAGCTAAGTAACAACATGTTAATAGTTGGTAGTAATGATGACTTACTCTGCAACATTTATTGTGTATTTCTTTATTTCTCTTACGACAGGGGCCTGTGGGGTGGGCCAGGACCATACAGGAAACTATTTCATCTTGGGATGAAGTGAAACCTCGATATCAGCTTGAATGCTAAGAGTCAGTTTTAAAATTAAAAGGAAAAATAGCACAAGAAAGTCATCAATCGTAATCCCTAAAATGGTGGACACACACATGCCAAAGTGTGGTAATACTTAGAGCACTGTCATCATGATTAATCATCAGGTTGGGTGAAGTTGTGATCATTATTTAACACCCTGGTGCCCATTATCGAACCAGCATTGAGAGTTTTATTGGAGCAGAGGTTTTGTATAATAATCCCATTCCTCAATAATTTACAACCCTAGGTGTACTAGTGTACTTTCAGAGGCCAGTGATTCCCAGACTGTAGCACTTGTATGACTGAGGTTCCACCTGGTGGTACTCCAGACTCTTGCTCAAAGGCCTAACCACTGCACTGGTCCAAGTCCTTAACTTAGAAACAAAAAAATGGCATTTAATATTTTTATGAACAATTGGAGGCGCAACAATACACTTTTAACACTATTTTTAAGAAATCTTCAATGATGAAATATATGACTTGAAATTTTCTTTTATTTGACTGAAAGCCACAAAATACAAAACAATGCAGGTGCATTTTGAAATGTTTTAACTAGTCATCTTGGAGTGAATGTCACTTCTACTTTCAGAGTATGAATTATCATATGTAGTAAAAGACAATATGCTGTAAAAGGTTTTGCCACAAACTCAACTGACTGGCTTCTCTCCTCTATGATACCACATGTGCCTCTTCAGACCTTTTAACTGTGCATGAACTATTTATGAGCTTCTAATTTGTAACTGAAGCTGTGTGTGACCTACTAACTGAACTCGTTTCCACAAATTGAACATAAAAAAAGTAGTGGGGGCATCTTCTGTGCTAATTTCACCCTCACACTCACATCATGCTGGCTGCTGCTCCTGTTCTGTTTTTGCTACTGATATCGCGAGAACACTTTTCATCTTGATGATAAAAATAGTCATGTTTTAATATCATGTCGTCACACCCCTACAATTCAGACAGAAGGGAAATGACAGCGACAGTCAGAGCCAACTGCAAGTGCAACATCTGTGTAATGGAGCAGTTTTTGTTTGTGGTCTGGTTAATAATTTTTTTTATTTTTTTTATTTTTTGAAAAAGTAGCCTTATATTGGTGTTGTTTAGACTTTTTGAGGCTATGAAAAAAAAATTCATTCATCTTGGTGCAGGGCCTGAACAGTAGTGGGAAGTGGTATAATTTTGGTACATAGTGCTACATGGTCTGAAATGATTGTGGGAACCTCTACTGTAGAGTAGACATTCCATGTGGCTTAGGTTTAGCCTTTGGTGAAAGTCTGGTATTACCTTGTAGTTTCTTGTCATCTTAAGAATTAATAGTCTTCAGTCTGTTTCCAGTTTTAAGTGTCTGATCTGCAGTAGTACCTTTTTCACAGTGCTAAGTTAACCGTTGTGTGTGCTACCAAACATTTAGTAAGAACTGCTGTCTTGGGGAAAGCTTGACCATTAACATGCAAACTACCACAAGTGCTTTTTTCCTTACTTTTAAACATCAGTGTCAGAAATAGTGCTTTGTACATTGTGATTATTTTTTCTGTTAGTGCTAAACTCAAAACAAGTTGTTGATTAAACTGTCAGTTTTATTACTCATGAATCTTTGTGTACACTTCTTGAAGTAAAAAAAATGTTTATGAAGAATCATAAATGCATACTCCATTTCAATTTTCATGGTAAATGGACTGTATTTATATAGCGCATTTCCACAGTGTGTTACACTGGCCAAAGCGCTTTACAGAGATGATACACCATTCACCCATACTACAGTTCTTTCACCTAACATTACAGCTGGCCTTTCCCTATAGTTTCATGCAGTTTCTGTGCCATGACAGCAGATAGCTTATGTCAGCCTTGGGTTTTTTACAGCAGAAAGAAACTTGTTATTTCTGTCACACCATCTGCTTTTGCTTGTTTGTATTCTGTTTGATTTTCTAACAACATTGATAATGATCAAAGTGCCTGTCATCGTAAATCTGTAAGTGATTAATCCAAAAGTTGCCTGTAAAATGCCTTGGCCTAGACAAAGGCTGCCAAATAAAGATGCCAAACAACAGTCTTGTCTTTCAAAATGTAACAAGAAAAAAGCATCTTGCACACAACTGCTGTGATCAATATGTGCACTACTTTGCATATTCACTATAGCTTTCTTGTAGTCACACAACAACACCAGCAGGGCGAGAGCGCCCACGCACCATAGTAATTTTTCTGTTGACTTCGTTCTCCGCCACGTTGGTTCCTTTACGTGTGTGCCGCATTCTCCTGCGCAGCACCAACGTTGTGTTTGTGATGAGGCGGGAAATGGCGTCCGTAGACATGGTTGATCTGTGACTGGCTACCGAGCGACAGACACAGCTGGCTGCAACAACAACGGCTTGACCTCTATCGGTGGCCGCCACGGTCGCGGCCCAGGGCTGACAACGTCTGCGGCAGATTTTGAAGAGCTTCTTAGATCATCGGTAAGTCACGGACAACGTTAACATTTAAACTGAAAAGGTTTGTCCCCCTGATAGCCTGATTGCTGTTAGCTAGCGGCTAATGTTAGCCAGCGAAGGGGGCGTAGTCTAATGGCTGAAAATAGTTATGGAAGCGAACAAAATGACGCGTTAGCCACAGTGTATGTGGCTTTTATGTATCTTAATTTTACAGTGGTATTGGCGCATAGTGTTAACATTGAACGTGGATGTGTTGACGGGGACACATGTAAGATGTGCTGCGGGAGCTAAAAAGAATCATGTCAAGGCTTTCCTTTTGCTGCCAGTGGGGTTTTGTTAGCCTAAAAGCTAACTGTAGCCACTGGTGGTAACGTTAGCCACGGAAACCACTGGCAGCATCTGGTTCATGTTAAGATTAATTTCAGCCGCTTACATATATTTGATATGAATGTGCCGGCCGTAACCATATAAAATCTTGGCCCTTTCCTACCACCTGTGACAAACCGGCAGTGGCTGTGAGTTGTAATTTGGTGCTAAATACCAGCAGTTGGCTAACGTTAGCGATAGCTGACGTCGTTGGTGTTGTACAGCCTGCCTGATGTTATCGTTACATAACGATAGTCAGCGGTGCTGTAATGTTGTCAGAGCTAACGTTAAATCACTGACAGTTAATTTATGAAACTGCTACATACTTGACTAAATGTACATACAGAAACAGAAGTGTCTGTCCCAAACACCAGCTGAGTTAGAACATTTAAAGGCTCACTGCTAATGTTTATCATGTACACCGCCCACCTGGCTGACGATCTGCCTGACATAGATGTGGTTTTTATAAGGACGTGTGCTCTTAACTTTGTTTATCATCTTGTTAAATGACTGTGACAACCAGAGAGGAGACATGAGTTGATCTTAACTGATTTGTTTATCCTTGTATTCAGACTAAGGTTATAGTAATTACTCGCTGTCGTGAGTGGCCTGTCATCAAGTGCATTGTTTATCCCTCTCATGTGATCTTGTCGGCATTTAAAGGAGTATTACACCAGATTAAAGGTCAAGAAAAGTAGGAGCCGAAGCTGAAAAGTTGCAACTATTAAGACGACAACGTGATATAATAATATGTTAAAATTGCTTAAACGATTTCTGTGCTTATGCTGGAGGCCTTGTGTGAACTCTGACAAGTCAGATTGATTTGTAAGTTATCAATAATATATTATTGCAAAGAAAAACCTATTTTATCCATTAAAAACTATTTGTATGTGAATTACATGATAAAAAAGACAGTGCATTTTAAATTTAATAAGGTAAGATGCTCCCAAATACTGTCACAACCCAAACCTATATTAATGTCTGGTCAGATTTGGAAGTAAGTAATGTTTTATACTTTTCCCTGTCAGATTTTTCTATGTGACGCTGTGGCATGATGAGGCTGAGAGTGCGTAAAGCTCCTCAGCAGCCAAACGTAGGGCGTCGTACCCACCCATCTCAGTCCAAGCGGAAACATTGCAAAGTGGAACCATCACCGGTGAGAGGTCGAGGCAAAATGCAGAAGAATGAAACAGGCCTGTTCTCCACTATAAAGAAATTCATACGTGGAAATGCTGTCAAGGTGGGCTTACATCAGGATTCACAGCTGCTTTTTTTTTTTTTTTACAGTTTTGTTTTAGCTGCTGTAACAGTAATTCACAGTAGGAGTACACACGTTTTTCAGAAAAAAACAGGGCCTCGGCTGCATTATGTATTGATAACATCTCAACATACCTGTTGTCGTTTCCTGCTGGCCTTCTTATAAATTTTTGTGAACATCTCTGATTCTAATTCTGGCAGCTTTTGAGAATGATAGTTATAATAAGAATCATATGTCATTTTAGACAAGGATTGAGTCAGCTGTACCATGTTTTAATTACTGTTATGAAAGTATGCCACCATAATATGTTTTATGTTATTACAACTTTGAAAATTCAGATTGAAAGAGTAAAAATCCACTACAAATTATTGTGTTACCAATTTGTAGGTTGTTCCTACCATGTTTTATTTTTTTCAGGTGGAGCAAGATATCCCAGCCAAGAGGAGCCGTATTGATTGTAGCTCTGATGGTGATCTAATTACTTCAACACCACGGACTAGAGGCCTTTCCAACAAGTCAATCTCTAGAGTTTGCCGCAAAAGTCTGAATAAAGGTACTACTACTACTACCCAGAAGGAAGTGCAGCACAACAGATCGTATGCCTTTTTTACAAGTAACACAGTTGTTACAAAAAGGAACCATATAAAGATCTACAGAAAAACTATAGATGTTTTGTTGTTAGGGTTGTTATTAACAAGCTTTTTGTTGTCGTTGTTAGATACAATGACCTGCAATAGTAAACCAATGAAACCAAATGGTAAGTATGACGCCCCCATTGAGGCAGCGAGCAGCCCACCACGCACTACCCTGCTTGGAACCATCTTCTCTCCAGTCTTTAACTTTTTCTCACCAGCAACTAAAACTGGTAAACCACTAAAATCCTTCTACATTTGATATCTCAAAAATAGTTTAGATTTTTTTTAAATTAGAGCATTTAAAATGTACTTCATAAATAGATTTAGGAAGATCCTTTGTGATACAGTGTGTGACTAAAAGTTTCCTAGTGACCAAACTGTATTGACTGCTCTCGTCTTTTGTGTTCAGCCACTCCTGGGTCCGACTCTCCTGGCCAGGCAGTGGAGGCAGAGGAAATCATAAAACAGCTGGATATTGAGCAGGCAGAAGAAATGCCGAGCAGCACGCTCACATCCAGAGAGGGCATCACTCCCTGTCACACTGCCCTGATTTTGCCACACAGGCTTCAGATTACCGCTGATACCACCATAGAAGAAGGGGAGATTGTCACTGAAACGGACATGCCCCCATTAACTGGTATGACTACTCTCACATTAAGACTCATACTTGTAATTTGGGGTAGTGTAATATGGGCACCATCATAATATACTCTAAGATGTTAGTTGAGCTTTTTTGTGCCAGTTTCAGTAGTTTAGACCCGAGTCAAATAACAGCTGATTATTTACAGTGAGTTTCCAGTTTTTTAGGTACACCTAGCTAAAACAAACAGTCTTCCTCCATGAAGGTGAAGATGTTCACTACTGTTGAAGCTGTTTCAGAGATGTGTTGATTCAACTTAATGATCATTTTGGAAAATGTAGTTTGTGGTGCTGTTGAACTGTACTGCATTATACAGTGTTTCTGTTTTTTAGCCTAGCCTCACTGATATGGACAAAATAATAGAAACACCTGTCAGTATAACACAACACTGTTCAGGCTGATTTAGAACATGTTTCGATTTTTGAGAGAGGCCAGTGAGATGCTGAATGAGAGACTGATTTACAGATGCTAGTGGGACATGTTCATCTACATGTGGCGGCGTGACACCTCTGTTGCTCAAGAACTTAACGTTTCAACTCCTTTTCAATGTCTCTCTTCTTCAGCCCCAGGTTGTATGCCAGATGGCAGCTATCCACATGCACTACCCTCAGTTCCTGCAGAAACCTCATATGATGAGGACTGGGAAGTTTTTGATCCGTAAGTAGATTGAAATTATTTTTAAGCAGATTGTAACAATCATAACAAATTATTTATGGCAAATAATCAAAAAAATCATTGAGCTGTAAATGGAAACTTGTGAGAATAATTATTATTACTCTGATCTCTGGTTTATTATTTCAACTCTGCACTAACACCGAATTGTTGGTTATCAGAAGTGTTATGTGATGCCACGCATTCAAGGTGACATTGTGGAGTATGTTGGTGTGTGAGCACAGCCTGGTGTAGTGTGTCTTTCAACCACTAGATGGCAGCAAAAACATAACTTTCAGCCTGCGTATGATACTCTGTGATGACACCATGTGTAAAACACTACTGTACACTCACCGACCACTTGATTAGGTACACCTGTACAATTGTATGCATTTCATTGCAACACGTACACCTTAACATCTGTGTTTATGAAACTCAAAATGTTTTGGTCTTTGGTGAAATTGTCATAAATGTATACATTCAGTTATAGGTTTATTATTGAGGCCATAGTTAAAGGTGGTGTTTTACTGGACTGTATTATATTCTGAGGTGTCTCTCTATTTTTTGTACTCCCTAGCTACTTAGATGAAAGGGTCAGAATATTAGGAACACCTCAGAATATAATGACTAAGTCTGTTTTTGCAGTCCAGTTGATTGACTTGTGTATGAACATAATATCAGTTCTCTGGATCTTGTCAAACTGCTGTTGTATTGAAACTGAATTAATGATTTTTGTTTATTGAAGTGGTTAACAGATGTGTAGATTAAGTGTCCTTGCTGTTCACAAATGAGCCAGGTGACCAACACCATCTTTCTTTGTCTGGAAGTGTTGCTCTTTTTTGGGACATGCTTGTTAGTTTTGCTAAATAAAGGGTCTTTTTATGGTTCTGCTGCTTCAAGGTACTTCTTCATAAAGCATGTGCCTCCGCTGACTGAAGAGCAGTTAACACGCAAACCAGCATTACCTTTGAAAACACGCAGTACACCAGAGTTTTCTCTTGTCTTGGATCTGGTAAGTAATGAAAGGTTTCTTGTACTGTATCTCATATTATGTGTAAATTAACTGTAATAATTTTTTCATATAGAGTTTTTTCTCTCTTTCTGCTGTCAGGATGAAACTCTGGTTCACTGTAGTTTAAATGAACTAGAAGATGCAGCTCTGACATTCCCTGTGCTCTTTCAAGATGTAATATACCAGGTACTAGCTGTGAAATGCCATTCTCTAATCAGATCTCAATTTAATATTGCTGTCATTACATTTCCTTTCCTTTCTGTGTTTGAACCTGAAGGTGTATGTTCGGTTGAGGCCCTTTTTCCGCGAGTTTCTTGAGCGCATGTGTCAACTGTATGAGGTGAGGCGTCTTGTCGTTACCAAGAGGCTCCAAATCTCAGTCAGCACATTATTCATTTACTGTACTGATTCCAATACAATTTCAGATTATTCTCTTCACGGCTTCAAAGAAAGTCTATGCTGACAAGTTGCTCAACATCCTGGATCCGAGAAAAAAGTTGGTCAGGTCAGTAGACTCGCACTCGGAAGCAGCTCGTGTACTAAATGATTTTGTGCTCTGAATGACTGTGCCTGAGTTAGCTATTGTGATGAGAATAAAATTGAAAGCTTCGTATAGATTTAGCAGGATGTGAAAGTACATTGAAGCAATGGAAACTGTCATTCATGCCAACCAGGAAAGTTGACTAGCTTTATTCTACACCCAGCCTTGGGAGGCAGTCAAAGGTAAACTTAGGAAGCTGCTCAACAGGACAAAGAAAACTCTAGCTGTTCTGGTTTTTTTCCTCCAACCTTTTAAATGATCTTGCAGATAAATGTTGAAATGTCTCTACAGCATTGTGCTACCATAGTGCTATTGCTAGTTTTCAATTTAATCAAGTTTGTCACTGTAGCCAGCAACAGTTATGCATTGATGCCCCTTATATCCTCTATACACACCCCTGTTTTCTGATCTTATCCTTCACACCTCAGAAATGCAGCATGTAAAATAATCTGGTTAGTCATAGTATTAACCTCCTCTTCCTTTGGAGAAATGAACAAGTGAGAGGATGAACCTGCCTTGCTGTTAAAGAAAAGACATTTACTGGTCACCTCACTGATTATTGCTTGTGGAGGCTGCTTGAATATTTGCATGTAGTAGTTGGGAAGGTCTCCTCTTCCTGCCAGTATCTGTTTGTAAATCTCTAAGGTTCGTTACCATCATCATTGGGGTTGCATTATTGGTCCATCGGTTTTTGTTTGTTAGTTATTATTCTGCCTCACAGCATGTTATAGCTTATGCAGCTTAGCAGATAGCTAACAATCAGTATGAAGAAAGAAGGGGCGTAGAAAAGTTCCCGTCGAGGACTCTCTCCAGTTCTTCAGCTTTATTTCTCTACGATCACTTTGTTACACTTTCCTTTTCTTTGTAAGACTGAAAATAAAACAGAAATAAACATCACTCAAAGTTGTCTGTAACAACACAGTTGCACCAACGAACTAAACTTCTCATCTATATAAATACCAGTAACTAACACTACATCGCCATGTTGCCTCACTTTAACTAACACAACGGTAAAGCTGCGTCGTGGCAAAACGTCATTAAACACACCTAACAAACACAACATTAAGTAAATTAAATCCTCTCAAATAAACCGTAATACTACTTGCAGACAAAGACTTAATGTAGATCCAAAGGAGAGGCAACCTGTGACTGTTTTCATGCTAGACTTACTAGCGGTGTGTATCACTAAACATGTCCCACTGAAACCAACAACAAACTCCGTCGGGGGAAAAATGTGCATCACTGAAATGGGTCCTGCTGGAAAACCATAACAGCTCCGCAGGGCGGAACAGTTATATTGTATGAACTTGCCTGTTTTAACTGCAAGGTATTCTTTTATTCTGTGTTTTTCAGACATAGGCTATTTCGTGAGCACTGTGTGTGTGTTCAAGGAAATTATATTAAAGACCTAAACATTCTCGGACGGGATCTTTCCAAGACGGTGATAATTGACAACTCACCCCAAGCTTTTGCTTATCAGGTAAACACCACCAAGCAAACCAGTGTTTAAAACATCTAACATTTGCATTTTTAAAACCAAAGCTTCTGTGTCACAGTAATACTAGAGCAGAGATTTTCTTTTGTTTTATTTATTTTTTTTAGCTGTCCAATGGAATACCTATAGAGAGCTGGTTTGTGGATAGAAACGACAATGAGCTTCTAAAGCTGGTTCCTTTCCTTGAGAACCTTGTGGAGCTGGTATGTATTTTGACTTTTGGCCAACATTTTGTCTCAAGACTGGATGCACATACACACAGCCCCTGTAAGATTTGCAGATCCCATAGCTGATATAAAGGAACAATGTCAGTGCTGAGCAGCTATGACAGAATCCGAATCTGTCTCCTTATTGTAAAGCACTGAATCCTGTCAGATATTTAAAGTTGCTGCTCATTTTTAACACATTACATTGTTACCTTTATGAATTATATTTGGCACAACATAGTTATTTTTGTACAAAAACAACTGAAATAAGTCACTTGATAGGCGCTTCATGAAACAGCCTCTTAATGAAATGAGATCCTAAGACATCCTCATCCTTAGGTGATGGTTCAGGAGTTTCCTCCTAAAACTAATGTCGTAATATGTTACTGTTGGGACAGTCCACGCAGCTTGTTTTTTTTACCCCTTCAGGCTTTGCCCATAACTCCGTCAGGTCACTGACATGATGGTCTCATAGTTAGTGAATTACTCCTTTTGTTCACACTCCCTCTGTCACAGAATGAAGATGTCCGCCCGCACATCCGAGAGCGGTATCGTTTGCACGACCTCCTCCCTCCAGACTGATGATCTCACGTTCACCTTTTAATTCAAGATGTTATCGACATTGGGAAAAACTGACTCCCAGAAGGATATATTCAATGGACATCTCTTTACAAAGAAAACAATGCCATTATTATTGTTTTTTTAAATCATGCCAAAAAAAAGAAAGTTTCGTTGGAATCAAAAAGATGTTTTTATACACGCACACTTGAACTAGACTGAGAACAAACAGGCCTGCTTGTCACAGCGGGTCCTTCACTTTTTGCTTGCTTCTTTAGTGCAACTTTGAAGAAAGCCTCCTGGAAGGTATGTTGTCTTTTAAGAACCATTTTGGATTCACAAAACTGAATGTCATGCAGTGTTGGAATAAATGGACCTCGATAGCTTCAGCCTGACCTCAAACAGCCAGTCAAACCTGTATAATATCCACTCTATTTAGTTGTAAATATATGTACATAATTTTTTGTTTCTTCGAGGTTTTTAAGTCCTTTTTATTTTCATTTCAGATTTTAGTATGTATTCTTTGATTTGGTTGCTTTTATAAGCCAAGAAAATGTTGGTGTGTTTTGTTTGAAGTTGATAAAGAAGCTGCTTTTCTGTTGTATGCCTGCATTATTCCTGTGATGCTTTACTCCATTACATGCAGTTGTCTGTAATAAGGTGCAGTTTTAAAAATGTCTTGGGGAGGAAATCATCTCTGAAATAATATTTTAAAGCTATGTAATGTAAACTAGAATAGGTTCTCAACTGAATACAAAGCCATAGTGGCCGAACAATAATTTTGGAGATTTGTATTTGAGAGTCAATTTCTGATTTCGACACTTTGATCCTCCTTGTTGGTAGGGGGTGGGGTTAATCTTGCACTTTGACATCCAGCCCTTTGTAAGTTGATGGAAAAAAAAAAAAAAATCTTGTCACTTTTCTACACAGGTGTGTACCACCTCACCTCGATTTGTTATGTGGGGGGGAAATACATTAAATTGTAGCACCAGCAAATTGCCAACTTCTTTGCTTCGAAATCTTGTTTTCCAGGACGTCTTGTGTGTGGGATCTTTGATGTCGGACTCACAAGTTTTATTGACTATTGAATGATCGCTCCTATTGTATTCAGTGTTACTCAGTGGTTTCCTTGAAAATAAATACATTTTTATACGACTCAGAGCTTCCTGGTAATAATTACATAGCTGTCTATTTATGAACTTTTAAATTCCATCCATCCATTATCAATACCACGTATCTGCTGGTCTTGAAAAGTCCTAAAAAGCATTAATTTCAGTTTCTTCAATAAAAGGCCTTAGAAGGTACTGAAATGTGCTGAATTTTATTTGAAATATTTTGTCTCAACTGTCAGGAGATGATGCACATATACAAAATAAAAGTGGGATTGTGCTGCAAGAAGTTGAGAAAAGATTTTTATTTTTTTGTATGTCATGCCAATATAAACTGCTGAGAAGTGCTGACAAAATGTGATATAGCCAGATGAAAAAAAAGCATATGGAAATGTCCAGTAACTTGACATTCAGTGACAATGGCCATCTTTTATTATGTGTACAATCTGCAGGTGTTTTTATTCAGAGAACGTGCGTCCTGTCTTGATCAGATAACCCACTGATGTCTTAATCCTTTTGTTCTTTCAAAAAATAGGTCATTAACTGATTGTAGGTGTGCACTGAATTGCCCCTTCCATAGGTCATGTGACTCCAAAAACAAAGGGGGCCAGTCTTCATCACTTATCTAACAGTGGTCAGAAGGAAGAAATCTTCCAAAACAAAATCACACTGTTGATAGTGTGAAGATAAGATGTGGAGGATGATTAACTGAGCATTTAGACTAAAAGGGGCTGATGTGCATAAAAGGTGCATGTGGCCTCGCTTCAGGATAACCATCAGGTCATTCCAGGATGTGGAAGCTCCTCTTATTGAGCACTGTGCTGGGGGTGTTAGGGTCCCAGGAAGTGGCCTCCAGAGCAGTTCAACAGCTCGAGGCCCTTCACTGCCCTCCCTGCAGGCAGATACACTGCTCCTCCCGGCGGGCACTGAAGCTCCAGTGTAAAGGTGGCGTCATTACAGGTATCTGCGGCTGCTGCCCTGTTTGTGCCAGAATACAGGGAGAGACCTGTGGGGGAGCATGGGACTATTTGGGAAAGTGTGATGAGGGACTGGTGTGTGTTTACGAGGACACAGCAGCTGACAAACCAGATGCAGAACACAAAGGGATCTGTAAAGCAGGTGAGAGTATCATTTGTCCTCAGTGCCAAGCAGGTAATGTGCTCTGGGTGATTTGATGTCACTGATTCATGCACACTACCAGTCTAATGTTGAAACACTGCCCCATTCAATTCAATGGGACAGTGTTTCAACATTTTGACTGTAAGCGTATATCAGAGTGGGACATATTTCCTGATATATTAATCACCAGTTTAAAAGAAGATGCAGTACTGTCTGAACTTTCCATCACAAAAAGTCAATAATATACAGTCAAACCAAAACAATGCTGTGAACCCTGATTATTACTATTATTACTGAAGTATTCAAATCCTTTAAGTAAAAATAGCACAATATCAAAATACTACAAGTAGAAACCCTGTCAAATTGTAACTGAGGAACAAATAAAGAAGTATTGACAGAGAAATGTACTTAAAGTATCAAAGTACTAATCCTGCAGCAGAATTTCTCCTGTCAATATATTATTTTACGAGTTCTTTAAAAGATATTCTGCAAGGAGACAGTGTTTTCAGCTATCAGGCCTTCGTCAGTGTCATATTCACAGTGTCTAAACATTACACATAGGTGAAAACTGTTGAGTTAATTAGCCTGCACCTGGCTGAGTAACAAGCTGAGTTCTTAGAACACTGATAAAAGTGACAATATATTGAAACCCATGCAAAACCAAACAGAACAACTGTGATGGTGTAAAAAGTACAATATTTCCCTACTGGATTAAAAATGTTATGCAGCATAAAATGGAAATACTCAAATTCACCTTACGCTTGTACTTGAATAAAGGTACTTTGTTACATTTCGCCACCGTACAGTAAGTCCCTGTAGTGGGACCACTGCCAGTGTAATGAAACTGGTTTATGAGCTGTTAGGACTGATAGTGTGCTCAAGGCTTACTGATTCAAAGGGTTCTGCCAACAGGGAAGCAGTGATCACACCTCTTATCACTTCATACTAAATAGTTATCGCTGTTATTGATGCTGTATCAGACATAGTACAAGATTAGAGATTTTCATGTTTTGTTGGTGCTCGGGAAATATGTATATGTAAAATTTTAAATGCTGAGTTTCATGACTTTTAAGTCCCACTTATTCTTTTCTCATGTGTTTTTGTGCAGTGATCGAATCGCCGGATCCAGAGAGCTGTCACCCAGAATGCACACATGAATACTGCCAAGCCCACCCCTCTCATATCTGCTCTGCCAGGTGATTGAAAAAAAACTTCATTGAGTAAACCCTTTTATTTCTTTTGCTTTGCATTTTTAACAGAAATCTAAATTTCCTCCTTGGTAGATTTGTGTCTCTGGAGAAAAAGGTGTGCCAAGGCTCCTGCCAGCACACCTCCTGTTCAAGCTGTCTGCTGCTGAAACCCCCGTCATGCCTTCAGATCTGTGCCCCTTCAAATTTTTCCTGCCTACAACACTTTGGGAAGTGTGTGCACAGTCACCTGAAAGCAACTCAGAATCCTATATGCCACAACAACTTGCAGGTAAGGGGGAGAAAAGCACCAGAAAGCTAATGGCAACAACAAAGATTCTCCATTTCTTCATTATGCTGTACTTTGAATGCTTCATCCATTAATCTAATGTTCTGCAGAGTAATCCTGAGGGGCACTTCATGTGTTTGGTCGCAGCCTGTGAAAACACACCCCAGTAGTTCCTCACAAGAGGAAAACAAACCCAGGGGAGCAAAATGGAAAAGGCAGGCAACTGTCAACAATCACAATTTGTATGTAACATAAATGTGAATAAACCTGTCTGAAATGAAATGTATTTTAAATCATGACAGAAGTCCATGTTCTACTGTAGTGTATAGTTGTTCAAATCACTGATCATTAGACTGGATTTATTCCAGAGTTTGTGTGATGGCTTGTTGCATGTATTTTTACATACTCTATTTTATTAAATATTTTGTATTTCTGATGTTTAAGCCTGTGTGTGCCCCGTGCTTTGTCTGGCTGCAAGACAAAATTCTCCTCTGGGACAATGAAGTTAATCAAGATTCATGTCATCAATATAGTACTTCTGTAACCCCTTCTGTAACTATAATGTTGACATCTCTCTCTCTCTCTTCACTAAACCTGAAGATAAATTAGATGATTAAAAAACTCCAACTGCATTTGAAATGAACAGCTACTGGCTATAATTTTATGAAATTTCCACTGTAAATTACTACATGTATCAGGACCCAATAAACCCACAATGCTCCATAAAAAAGTAGTGAATAGTAGATGATAATTAATGAAGCAATAATTAACACTATGCTTTCCACATTGCTTGCATGAAAAAGTCTTTGGAAACCTGCCTTGGAATAAGTACAACCAATGCTAATGAAACAAATCTTGAAGTAGAGAAATTACGTCATAACAATGTAGGATATAATAATGTAAATGAAACATATCTGTCACTCTATTGCTCCCATTTGAGGAGTTTTTTCAGATTCACACAAGTGGCTCGAGTCTCCTCTGCCGTCGCTGCCCCCCTGGCAGCGGATGGTTACTGAATAACAGGCGGTTTATGAGACAGCAATAATGAAGCGTGTACAGAAAGGGAATAAAGTGTGGGCCAACAATGGGCAGTTTGTTCTGTCTTTTAAATGTGAGACATTTCTGAAGAACAGAAGCCGTTTATCTAAATGATTTCGCAAGACAGAGTCACTTTTTATACTAAAACAAAGGCCAGTGTTTCTTTCATCTTCTTTTAACTTGCAAGTCAAATGCATCAGTGAGGTACAGCGATATCTAACGAATATCTGCCGTTTAATCAGACTGAAGAGAATTGTTTCTAGACAAACAGTTAATGCTTCTTGCAGAAGGGAATAACATCCTGATAGTATCGTATTGCACAATAAATTAATAAATACAATCACTGTAAATACAAAGATTAGACAGCCTTTAAAGAAATTGTAAACTGCTGTATGCACTTTACATGAACCAGGAAAGTTTTACTTCATGGAAAAGCTTCACAAATGCAACTACTTCAGTTAATAATGTCCTTTTACAATGCAACTACAAAAACTACCCAGATTTCCTTCCTTTTGTACATTTGTGTGTACATATACATCAGCATATCATGTATATTATCTATTAGAACAACAGGATTTGTCAACAAAGCAAACCGCCTCCGTTATCAATCCCATATATCCTTCTCATTTTTTTTTAACTGATAAAAACAACGGATAACAAAGGACTGTCTACGGTCCAGCTGTAATAAATGTGCCCCTGTCAGAGGCAGCATGTCATTGTCTGAATACAGCACAAACCCTGGAACAGAGAAGTACAAGAGATTATAAAGAGAGAATGACCTTTAAAGTGTACGGGAAGCAACTCCAGATATTTGATTATTCTCAGCATGTCAGAATAATGTGAGATGCTATAAAGATCTTTAGCAAAGCAATCATTTAAAGTCAAACACTACATTTGGAAAATATATTTTGTAAATTAACTTTACAACAAACTGCACTCAAACCCTTGAAACTACTTAAATCAAATGTAAATTTTATTAGTGTCAAAAAAAACCTCACCAGATAAAGAACCTGTTCACTTTTAAGAGGATATACAGCATAAGTCCTTTAAAGATAAAAAGTACATCTGAAATAATTAAGAGTGAGTTTATCAGTGGCCTTTCTATGACCCATGACTTTAAATGTCAGTACAACCAAAATGACTTAATGAGTTTTCCTTCATTAAATCTTCTGCAGTTACATTTATCAGGACATGAACAGTCCCAAATCATTCATTTCCAAACACCTGAGTAGAACAGCAATACCACTGAAAGTGAGCACTTAAAGGGGAGCAGTGTATTTTTTGCCTGCTCAACAGCCAATCAGGCAAAATGGGTCAGTATAGTCAGTTTGTGTCCTGTGTTTAAGACCTCAAAAACAAACAAAAAAACTCATGTCACAAGGGCTCTTTGACTTTTGAATGTGCAGTTTTTCCTCACTTTGATTAATAAAAGGACTGAAACTACACAGCTCCTGAGCTTATCTACAAATCTCAACCTTCACTCAATCATAGAAATTACAAATTAAACACTGCATGACATTCTTAAAATGCAGACCGGTCTTATTACAGATTAATACACAATAGGATCTTGTTAGCCGCTATATGATAAGATTTTTTTGTCTTGGAATAACATCACTATTTTGTACAAATAAAGAAAAGAACTGTAAAAAGAAAACAGTATAAAGATGCATAAATGTTGTCTTTGCTCAGGCCTCCAGTCAGTCTATGATCAGGAAGGCACATCTGGGCCGTCTGTCCTGTTGTCTTGTCACCTGAATAGTCTGTTCCAAAAGGATAGAAAAGTGGCGGAGTTAAAGGCACCAATGAATATGAGCAGCAGAAGGTAGAGACTCATCATGATGGCAAAGTGGTGTTTGAAGAGCCAGGAGGTGCTGTGGGAACGTCTGAAGAAAGAAAACACAAAAACAGTCTCATTTCAAAAGTACACCTGCACCTGAGGACACTTATATGGGATTTTTCATATAATTTCCATTTTTACTGAGGAAAAATATTATACTGTACATACACATGAACATGTATTTCTAGTCACCTAGAGCCACAAAAATCTTTTTATGTAGTTGTAGATTTTTTGCATTAAGTGGCTTATGCATACTTTTTGTGTCTTTACATCCTTTGCTACAGGCGACTTGCTAAGCCACATATGACACAGGAGATTCTTACCTGGACAGATGCCTCCTCTGAGAGTAAACAAGTAAGTACTTCACTCGCAAAAGCTGATTGTTGGTGACTACAAAGTATTTCTGTGGTACATCCCCTCCTTCGCTGTTCTTTGCCCTTGAGCGCCGACGGTCAGTGATTTCAGAATCTGCAAGACCGTGAAAAGTACAAATCATTTAAACAAACAGGATTAACATTCTGTGAATGCAACATGTCACAAAGGATGCACACCTTTTTTCTTGACCTGGCACTTGACATCTGGGTGATCAATGACTTCACACAAGGCAATACAGCTGAGCAGCGGGCCCAGGAGGCTTTCTCGCCAGCTGCTGTTGTGGGGACTATAGAGGACAGCCATGCTGAGGTCACTTGTGAGGTAGGTCCCCTCTCCAAACACTGAGTTCTGCACGTAGAAAAAAAAAGACAGCAGATCAAACTGATTTAAGTTTCCATGTCAGTCAGAAATAACTGGACATCTCTGATTTGCATGTGTTCTTTCAGCATACAGTAGAAAATTCATCATTCCCTGCACAATTTCAGCATTTTTGACAATGATGAACCAGCCAGTTACAGCTACAGAACAAATGAAACTGCAACAGCTGCACTGACCTTGTTGAGGTGACAATGCAGACCGTTGTGAATGATTGAGTGAAAGTTCTCCAGACGGCTGCCATGGAATGCATAGAAGACGTTTCTGTCTGCCCTTGTCTTTTCAAACCTGGCATTCATCTGATCACTGTACTCCAGCTCAAAGAGGAAGTCTGGCACAGGTGCAGAAATCCCTTCATGCTCCATCAAGTCACAAAGTTTGGGAAACTGGTTGAGATGTGACACGATGTAAACAAAACTGCATGAGGTTAATGACACCCTGGTTTGTTCATTAATGATTATCTGTGGCGATGTACCTCATCTTTCTGTAGCGTCTTCACAGCAAAGCTCTTTGAAGAGAGAATCCAGTGTGTTAGAGACAGATGATGATCTCCCTGTCCAGGTCGTAGTCTCACCAGTTCTCTCACACCAGGCAAAGAATTCACATCTGCCAACTAGAGAACAAATTAAACTCTGTTTTACATTTGTATTTTGTATCTGTATTTTTCTGACTCTAGCCACAGAATCTAAGATGCAAATCTATGAGTAATATAAAGCATATATACACTAACAAAGGAACACCTTATATTTTAGCATTTCAGTCTTGTTCTTCATCTTTTTACTGACACACTACTTCCATCGACAGCACATTACTGCCACCAAGTGTATGTATATCACGTCTCCACTGTACTAATAATGTGCAGGTGAATTCTTACTAAAACAAAAACTATGGCAACACTCCAAATACAAGCATAACTGCTACAACAAACAGTATTCTAAATCTTTTGACTGCCACTATGTCGTTTACCAGCTCTTCAAAGTCCTTATCGTCACCACATGTGTATCTAGGAGGGAAGGGTCTAAGCAAAGAGTCCCTCTTGTAGTTCTGTGCAGCTGCAACAAACAGGCTGAGGCGAAGGTCTGCTGCTACTGGGTCTCTGTGCAGACAGGAGCACACCAGCTCTCTGACCGCCTCAGGTGGGAGTGGTGGCTGCATTCCCAGCACTGTAGATGGAGTGACAAAATAACACGCAAGTGAGAAGTCAGGTGTTAACAGGACAGCAAACACCTCATGGCAACATACAGTGGGTAC